TTGTGGTGGTGCAGGCTGTGTGCCGCGGCACTTGTGGTGGTGCAGGCTGTGTCCCAGCACTTGTGGTGGTGCAGGCTGTGTGCCGCGGCACTTGTGGTGGTGCAGGCTGTGTGCCGCGGCACTTGTGGTGGTGCAGGCTGTGTGCCGCGGCACTTGTGGTGGTGCAGGCTGTGTGCCGCGGCACTTGTGGTGGTGCAGGCTGTGTCCCAGCACTTGTGGTGGTGCAGGCTGTGTGCCGCGGCACTTGTGGTGGTGCAGGCTGTGTCCCAGCACTTGTGGTGGTGCAGGCTGTGTGCCGCGGCACTTGTGGTGGTGCAGGCTGTGTGCCGCGGCACTTGTGGTGGTGCAGGCTGTGTGCCAGCACTTGTGGTGGTGCAGGCTGTGTGCCGCGGCACTTGTGGTGGTGCAGGCTGTGTGCCAGCACTTGTGGTGGTGCAGGCTGTGTGCCGCGGCACTTGTGGTGGAGCAGGCTGTGTGCCCCGCCACTTGTGGTGGTGCAGGCTGTGTGCCGCGGCACTTGTGGTGGTGCAGGCTGTGTGCCAGCACTTGTGGTGGTGCAGGCTGTGTCCCAGCACTTGTGGTTGTGCAGGCTGTGTGCCGCGGCACTTGTGGTGGTGCAGGCTGTGTCCCAGCACTTGTGGTGGTGCAGGCTGTGTCCCAGCACTTGTGGTGGTGCAGGCTGTGTGCCGCGGCACTTGTGGTGGTGCAGGCTGTGTCCCAGCACTTGTGGTGGTGCAGGCTGTGTGCTGCGGCACTTGTGGTGGTGCAGGCTGTGCGCCCCGGCACTTGTGGTGGTGCAGGCTGTGTGCCGCGGCACTTGTGGTGGTGCAGGCTGTGTGCTGCGGCACTTGTGGTGGTGCAGGCTTTGCGCCCCGGCACTTGTGGTGGTGCAGGCTGTGTGTCCCAGCACTTGTGGTGGTGCAGGCTGTGTGCCCTGGCACTTGTGGTGGTGCAGGCTGTGTCCCAGCACTTGTGGTGGTGCAGGCTGTGTGCCCTGGCACTTGTGGTGGTGCAGGCTGTGTGCCGCGGCACTTGTGGTGGTGCAGGCTGTGTCCCAGCACTTGTGGTGGTGCAGGCTGTGTGCCGCGACACTTGTGGTGGTGCAGACTGTGTGTCGTGGCACTTGTGGTGGTGCAGGCTGTGTGCCGCGGCACTTGTGGTGGTGCAGGCTGTGTGCCAGCACTTGTGGTGGTGCAGGCTGTGTGCCGCGGCACTTGTGGTGGTGCAGGCTGTGTGCCCCGCCACTTGTGGTGGTGCAGGCTGTGTGCCGCGGTACTTGTGGTGGTGCAGGCTGTGTGCCAGCACTTGTGGTGGTGCAGGCTGTGTCCCAGCACTTGTGGTGGTGCAGGCTGTGTGCCGCGGCACTTGTGGTGGTGCAGGCTGTGTCCCAGCACTTGTGGTGGTGCAGGCTGTGTCCCAGCACTTGTGGTGGTGCAGGCTGTGTGCCGCGGCACTTGTGGTGGTGCAGGCTGTGTCCCAGCACTTGTGGTGGTGCAGGCTGTGTGCAGCGGCACTTGTGGTGGTGCAGGCTGTGCGCCCCGGCACTTGTGGTGGTGCAGGCTGTGTGCCGCGGCACTTGTGGTGGTGCAGGCTGTGTGCTGCGGCACTTGTGGTGGTGCAGGCTGTGTGTCCCAGCACTTGTGGTGGTGCAGGCTGTGTGCCCTGGCACTTGTTGTGGTGCAGGCTGTGTCCCAGCACTTGTGGTGGTGCAGGCTGTGTGCCCTGGCACTTGTGGTGGTGCAGGCTGTGTGTCCCAGCACTTGTGGTGGTGCAGGCTGTGTGTCCCAGCACTTGTGGTGGTGCAGGCTGTGTGTCCCAGCACTTGTGGTGGTGCAGGCTGTGTGCCCCGCCACTTGTGGTGGTGCAGGCTGTGTACCGCGGCACTTGTGGTGGTGCAGGCTGTGTGCCGCGGCACTTGTGGTGGTGCAGGCTGTGTGCCGCGGCACTTGTGGTGGTGCAGGCTGTGTGCCCCGCCACTTGTGGTGGTGCAGGTTGTGTGTCCCAGCACTTGTGGTGGTGCAGGCTGTGTGCCGCACCACTTGTGGTGGTGCAGGCTGTGTGCCGCACCACTTGTGGTGGTGCAGGCTGTGTCCCGCACCACTTGTGGTGGTGCAGGCTGTGTGCCGCACCACTTGTGGTGGTGCAGGCTGTGTGCCGCGGCACTTGTGGTGGTGCAGGCTGTGTGCCCCGGCACTTGTGGTGGTGCAGGCTGTGTGCCGCGGCACTTGTGGTGGTGCAGGCTGTGTGCCGCGGCACTGGTGGTGGTGCAGGCTGTGTGCCGCGGCACTTGTGGTGGTGCAGGCTGTGTGCCCCGCCACTTGTGGTGGTGCAGGCTGTGTGCCCCGCCACTTGTGGTGGTGCAGGCTGTGTGCCGCGGTACTTGTGGTGGTGCAGGCTGTGTGTCCCAGCACTTGTGGTGGTGCAGGCTGTGTGCCCCGCCACTTGTGGTGGTGCAGGCTGTGTGCCGCGGCACTTGTGGTGGTGCAGGCTGTGTGTCCCAGCACTTGTGGTGGTGCAGGCTGTGTGCCCCGCCACTTGTGGTGGTGCAGGCTGTGTGCCGCAGCACTTGTGGCGGTGCAGGCTGTGTGTCCCAGCACTTGTGGTGGTGCAGGCTGTGTGCCCCGCCACTTGTGGTGGTGCAGGCTGTGTGCCCCGACACTTGTGGTGGTGCAGGCTGTGTGCCCCGCCACTTGTGGTGGTGCAGGCTGTGTGCCGCGGCACTTGTGGTGGTGCAGGCTGTGTGCCCCGGCACTTGTGGTTGTGCAGGCTGTGTGCCCCGCCACTTGTGGTGGTGCAGGCTGTGTGCCCCGGCACTTGTGGTGGTGCAGGCTGTGTGCCCCGCCACTTGTGGTGGTGCAGGCTGTGTGCCGCTGCACTTGTGGTGGTGCAGGCTGTGTGCCCCGGCACTTGTGGTGGTGCAGGCTGTGTGCCCCGCCACTTGTGGTGGTGCAGGCTGTGTGCCCCGGCACTTGTGGTGGTGCAGGCTGTGTGCCCCGGCACTTGTGGTGGTGCAGGCTGTGTGCCCCGGCACTTGTGGTGGTGCAGGCTGTGTGCCGCGGCACTTGTGGTGGTGCAGGCTGTGTGCCCCGGCACTTGTGGTGGTGCAGGCTGTGTGCCCCGCCACTTGTGGCGGTGCAGGCTGTGTGTCCCGGCACTTGTGGTGGTGCAGGCTGTGTGCCCCGCCACTTGTGGTGGTGCAGGCTGTGTGCCCCGCCACTTGTGGTGGTGCAGGCTGTGTGTCCCGGCACTTGTGGTGGTGCAGGCTGTGTGCCCCGGCACTTGTGGTGGTGCAGGCTGTGTGCCCCGCCACTTGTGGTGGTGCAGGCTGTGTGCCCCGCCACTTGTGGTGGTGCAGGCTGTGTGCCGCGGCACTTGTGGTGGTGCAGGCTGTGTGCCCCGCCACTTGTGGTGGTGCAGGCTGTGTCCCGGCACTTGTGGTGGTGCAGGCTGTGTGCCCCGCCACTTGTGGTGGTGCAGGCTGTGTGCCCCGCCACTTGTGGTGGTGCAGGCTGTGTGCCGCGGCACTTGTGGTGGTGCAGGCTGTGTGCCCCGCCACTTGTGGTGGTGCAGGCTGTGTCCCGGCACTTGTGGTGGTGCAGGCTGTGTGCCCCGGCACTTGTGGTGGTGCAGGCTGTGTGCCCCGCCACTTGTGGTGGTGCAGGCTGTGTGCCCCGGCACTTGTGGTGGTGCAGGCTGTGTGCCCCGCCACTTGTGGTGGTGCAGGCTGTGTGCCCCGGCACTTGTGGTGGTGCAGGCTGTGTGCCCCGGCACTTGTGGTGGTGCAGGCTGTGTGCCGCGGCACTTGTGGTGGTGCAGGCTGTGTGCCCCGGCACTTGTGGTGGTGCAGGCTGTGTGCCCCGCCACTTGTGGCGGTGCAGGCTGTGTGTCCCGGCACTTGTGGTGGTGCAGGCTGTGTGCCCCGCCACTTGTGGTGGTGCAGGCTGTGTGCCCCGCCACTTGTGGTGGTGCAGGCTGTGTGTCCCGGCACTTGTGGTGGTGCAGGCTGTGTGCCCCGGCACTTGTGGTGGTGCAGGCTGTGTGCCCCGCCACTTGTGGTGGTGCAGGCTGTGTGCCCCGCCACTTGTGGTGGTGCAGGCTGTGTGCCGCGGCACTTGTGGTGGTGCAGGCTGTGTGCCCCGCCACTTGTGGTGGTGCAGGCTGTGTCCCGGCACTTGTGGTGGTGCAGGCTGTGTGCCCCGCCACTTGTGGTGGTGCAGGCTGTGTGCCCCGCCACTTGTGGTGGTGCAGGCTGTGTGCCGCGGCACTTGTGGTGGTGCAGGCTGTGTGCCCCGCCACTTGTGGTGGTGCAGGCTGTGTCCCGGCACTTGTGGTGGTGCAGGCTGTGTGCCCCGGCACTTGTGGTGGTGCAGGCTGTGTGCCCCGCCACTTGTGGTGGTGCAGGCTGTGTGCCCCGGCACTTGTGGTGGTGCAGGCTGTGTGCCCCGCCACTTGTGGTGGTGCAGGCTGTGTCCCAGCACTTGTGGTGGTGCAGGCTGTGTGCCCCTGCACTTGTGGTGGTGCAGGCTGTTTGCCGCGGCACTTGTGGTGGTGCAGGCTGTGTCCCAGCACTTGTGGTGGTGCAGGCTGTGTGCCCCTGCACTTGTGGTGGTGCAGGCTGTGTGCCCCGCCACTTGTGGTGGTGCAGGCTGTGTGCCCCGGCACTTGTGGTGGTGTACACAAGTGCCGGGGCACATCTGTGAGGGATATACAGCATGACACTGGAGCACCTGGCCGTCCAACAACAAGTGGTGAGCCCGTCATGACCTGGACCGCTCATGGAATGTCTTGAACTTTAACAATCTTCAACCAAGTACTTTTCGCCTCTGCAATAAGCCATTAGCCCAAAACTCTCTATTAATATAGATATCAACGCTCATCAAGCAGAAGGAGGGTTGAAGAAGCCTCATAGTATGATAACAGCGCCAATATCTTAGTCAACCCTACTCCGTTCTCCTCAGCGTCGCCTGCACGCCATTAACAGAGGACCTTTTCTCTTGCAGATGTATATAGGACTTGTGTTCGTCCTCGTCGGCCTTGCTGTGGCTGATGAGTCAGGTGGCGGCCACCACCATCACCCACCAGCATCTGGCTATGGTCCTCCACCAGCTCCGAGCTATGGCCCGCCGCCGCCGCCACCGCCACCGAGCTATGGCCCGCCACCAGCACCGAGCTATGGCCCGCCGCCACCCCCAGTGTATGGCCCACCACCGGTGATCGTGTACCTGCAGCAACCTCAACAGGGCGGTAAAGGCAAGGGCGGGGTGAGTACAGCGGCTCCTTTTGTCCAGTGTTATGACGTTTGATCTTACAGACAAATTTCACAAAATGATTAATGTATTAACTCGACACAGACCAAATAACGCACAGATACAACAATTGAACAACATATGTACATGCTTACATATAATGCTTAAGTACACAGATCTAAAATACAGATACACAGAACTAGACTTGACAAGTACATGTAATCTATGTTATACAATCACACTGTACGTGATTCTGTGCCACGTAAGGTACACAGACGTCCATATTGCCTTGTGGCTTCCAGCATCTTGCCCGCCATCAGTGCCCTCGCCAGATCTTCATTCTTGTACTGTGTAATAGAGCTCGTGTACTCTGGCCTGTGTACTATATCTTGTGTACTATATCTAGAGGTGCACGATGTGCTTCTTTATTGCAGGAGTTACCTATAAATGACTTGGACTACTTTTTGTATGTCAAGGATTCTGTCTTTGGCGGTCTGACCGACAAGCTCAAGGGCGGGTTCGATACCGTGTCGGGATCCTTCGGCAGCATCAAGGACAAGGTCTCCTCCCTCAAGACTCGGGCTCTCAAGGCTCTGGTCGAGCTCCTCAAGGCTAAGTTCACCAAGGACAAGAAGGAAAGCGCTCCAGCTCCTGGTAAGACTCAGTCACTTGTACGAGTTGATTAACCTGAGTCAGTTGTAAATATCTGGTATACATGTGTCATAATAAGTCTGTACCATACATGTGTCATAATAAGTCTGTACCATACATGTGTCACAACAGTCTGTACCATTCACTCATTTACGTTTTTGATTCCCACAGCGCCAGCCCCCAGCTATGGCCCTCCTCCCGCTCCAAGCTATGGTCCTCCACCGCCTCCCCCACCAAGTTATGGTCCTCCTCCACCACCTCCCCCTCCAAGCTACGGTCCTCCTCCTCCAAGCTACGGTCCTCCTCCTCCACCACCTCCCCCTCCTAGCTACGGCCCTCCCCCCTCGACCTATGGGGCTCCCCCAGCCGGTGGTCACGCCGGTCCCCTGGTGGACGATGGACCTCCTTCTGGCTTCAACGGCAACGTCCCCGGAGGACCTTCAGGTAGCCGAGCTATTCCCGACACCTTCGGCGCCCCCAAGCCTGCTGATCTTGTCATTGGCGTTGGGTACCAGGCCCCGACTGACTCTTACAGTGCCCCGACTGGCCCTCACGGTGCCCCGACTGGCCCTCACGGTGCCCCGACTGGCCCTCACGGTGCCCCGACTGGCCCTCACGGTGCCCCGACTGGTCCTCATGATGCCCCGACTGGTCCTCATGATGCCCCGACTGGTCCTCATGATGTCCCGACTGGCCCTCATGGTGCCCCGACTGGCAACGAATTATCCAGCTACGTCTCTTACGATCAAACAGGTGCGCTATTTCATCCTTCCAGCAGCAGGAGTCTTAAGACCAGGTCGCAGCCCATAGAAAGGCAGCCAATCCCCTTGCCCGAGCGGGTTCTATGGGCACTACAGAGAAACATTTTTCCCCAAACCTTTCCCTACGGCGTCCCTGGGCCCCAGCTCGGCCCCCCACACCCTGGGGACAGCCACGCGCGCGTCTCTCACTCCGCTCCTCTTGGCTGGCTCCCTCTCCCCCTCACTATGACCACCACACCTCAACCTTCTCACACCATTGTCCGACCCTTGGGACACTCTACACCGGCCGAGCGTCACCATGGACACCTAGAACCACGTGGTCTGGTCGAGCACGACCATGAACACCCAGATCTACTTGGTCTGGCCGACCACAGTCACCTCCTACCACAAGTCATTAGTGCTGTACTAATATCACCTACGACCAACAGCCCAACATTCCGGTCACCCTTCACAACCAACAGCCCAACATTCCGGCACCCTTCACAACCTTTCACCCTTCAACCAACAGCCCAACATTCCGGTCACCCTTCACAACAGCAACAGCACCCTTCACACAACAGTTCCACCCTTCACAACCAACAGCCCAACATTCCGCCCCTTCACCCTTCCGGTCACAACCAACAGCCCAACATTCCGGCCACCCTTCACAATCTCTAACACTATTATCAGACAGGCCCACACAATCACTGCACAATGTCAGCCTTCCGATACTGAACCATTCTGGATAGTGTCATTCCCAGATGCACCTTCCAGCCCCCCGGGTCATCCCCTAATTATCCCCTCCTACTGGCCAGAGACTACCATCGTCAATCCTCCCACTCCCTCGCCTCTTACACCTTATGACAGACCCGTGATAAATCTTTCTTACTTGCCAGCCGTTAATCCATACTCCAGCTTCTCTTCCATACCCACAGGACGACCACTAACTACACCTTCTTACTGGCCAGCCACTAATCCATCAGTCGACACTTCCATACCCACTGGACGACCACTAACTACACCTTCTTACTGGCCAGCCACTAATCCATCAGTCGACACTTCCATACCCACTGGACGACCACTAACTACACCTTCTTACTGGCCAGCCACTAATCCATCAGTCGACACTTCCATACCCACTGGACGACCACTAACTACACCTTCTTACTGGCCAGCCACTAATCCATCAGTCGACACTTCCATACCCACTGGACGACCACTAACTACACCTTCTTACTGGCCAGCCACTAATCCATCAGTCGACACTTCCATACCCACTGGACGACCACTAACTACACCTTCTTACTGGCCAGCCACTAATCCATCAATCGACACTTCCATACCCACTGGACGACCACTAATTACACCTTCTTACTGGCCAGCCACTAATCCATCAGTCGACACTTCCATGCCCACTGGACGACCACTAACTACACCTTCTTACTGGCCAGGCACCAATCCATCAGTCATCACTTCCATACCCACTGGACGACCACTAACTACACCTTCTTACTGGCCAGGCACCAATCCATCAGTCGACACTTCCATACACCCTGGACGACCACTAACTACACCTTCTTACTGGCCAGCCACTAATCCATCAGTCGACACTTCCATGCCCACTGGACGACCACTAATTACACCTAAGTGGCCGGCCACCACAGTCATCAACCCACCCCCAGTCTCCAATCCATGTGTTGTTCCACTCATCAACCTAATGGATAACGTTGGAATCCTTAACCACTGTGCTGGTCTCTTCCCTCTCACACAAAAGCCTTTATTTACTGATCGATCTAATATTTCGGACGATTTTACCTCTCCTGGAATTTCGCTTTTTGATTTTGTCAACACAGGAGGTGGTGATGGCGACACCCGTGTGTCAGGTGACGGCAGTGTTGACACGTTGGCCTGGGGGTCCAGAGATCCTAGACAAGATCACTTTCCAGTAGATAACTTTGTCGTAGAACTCTCGCCCAGCCCTGTGAGACCTAGTGAAGTAGTCACTGGTAATCCTGTAGTCCTCCCCATCAGCACTTATCATAGTCAAAGCTTTGGTGAGAGCGGCTGGAGAGTCAGTAACTTTACAGTCAGCACTCAACAGCCTGGAGCCCAAACACTCGCTACACTGAGCAGAACAACCAATACCCTCCCCAAACACATCACTACACCCACACCACATACTGTTAAGAGAGTGGAGAGCTTGACTGAGCCCACTGTGCCTAACCTGAGCCTTGACCTAGCCACTGGCCCAGACAACCTTCACCATTTTGGACCCAGCTTACTGTGGCGCCAGGAGAGCATCAGGAGGCGCATCCTTCGCCAGACATCTCTCACATAAACACTCCAACATCAGTTTCCCGTCCCAACCCGCATTCATCCTCCGTCTAACACCTCCAGGATCAGTCTCCCTTCCCAACGCTCCTTCGTCGTCCGTCTAACACGCCATACACAATTCTGATGGGTGTCTCGGACACACACAAACCCATCAGTGTGATCCAGGACACTTGAGACACAGGACACTGGAGACACAGGACACTACACCTATGAGGACACAGGACACTACACCGTGAGACTTTTGAGACTTCGAGGAGAGCCGGCCAGAGGTGCGGCTGACGACGTAATCAGCCGCTGATGAGGCCAGATCATAACTTTCCCTCGCCTCGACTCCAACTTGTAACACCTTCCACACTTAACTCTGAGACCAAGTGCTGACTACTCAGGTCTCTCTACAGGAGTGTCCTCAGTGCTTCCTCCTGACCTTACAGCAACTTACATCCCCCAGTGATTTATATAAGACTGACAATTGCTGTTATATATATATATATATATATATATATATATATATATATATATATATATATATATATATATATATATATATATATATATATATATATATATTTGTTGTTATTTTTCTATTTTTAGTTACAGGTCATTGTTATGTCAAGCGTAATTTATTGTCACAAAGTGTGTGTAGATGTGATGTTTAGCAGGTAACCCCGAGACTGTTGTGGGAGGCAAGAGGCACCGGGTTGAGGTAGGAGTCATACCCAGTGTACAGGCACAGTAGGTGCCTAGGCCACGGCCCACTGCACCCTCCTCCTTACCCAGTGTACAGGCGCACTAGGTGCCTACACCACGCCCACTGCACCCTTCACTTTACCCAGTGTACAGGCGCACTAGGTGCCTACACCACGCCCACTGCACCCTTCACTTTAACCAGTGTACAGGCGCACTAGGTGCCTACACCACGCCCACTGCACCCTTCACTTTAACCAGTGTACAGGCGCACTAGGTGCCTACACCACGCCCACTGCACCCTTCACTTTAACCAGTGTACAGGCGCACTAGGTGCCTACACCACATCCACTGCACCCTCCTCCTTACCCAGTGTACAGGCGCACTAGGTGCCTACACCACACCCTTCACTTTACCCCAGTGTACAGGCACACTAGGTGCCTACACCACACCCTCTGCACCCTGGTCATGCTAAAGCCGTCTCTGCAGTATGACCTCACTCTAAGCTTCAGTGTGTTAGCCGCGAGTTCAGCATTCAAGCCAAAGTTTTAGTATGAAATGTTTCTAATTTATAAAGTAATGTAACACTGTAGTTGCAAAATGCCCTTCCACGTGTTCTAATAATTCTTCTCTCACATTTTCAGGACGTTAACACAGGTGAAGAGGTCATCAGTGAGCATGTGTGTGACCTTGACACTCACACTGAGGTGAAGAGCGCGCGTGCGTGACCCAGGCAGGTGGTGGCGGCCAGCTGGGGTCGCCCCGGCCAGCTGGGGTCTCCCCGGCCCGCTGGGGTCGCCCCGGCCAGCTGGGGTCTTCCCGGCCAGCTGGGGTCTCCCCGGCCAGCTGGGGTCGCCCCGGCCAGCTGGGGTCGCCCCGGCCAGCTGGGGTCTCCCCGGCCAGCTGGGGTCTCCCCGGCCAGCTGGGGTCGCCCTGGCCGCTCCTGTACCGCGCCAAAACATCTCCGTTACTCTCACGTGACACTGTTGTTCTCCATGCAGAACAATATGACACATAACTGCACTATGAAATCACGGAGAAAGACATTTTGTTATATATTTTTCGCCGACTGGCCTTGTTACTTGTGTATACATATGGAATGTGCTCTCCAGAACTGTTAAGACAAGGGGCTGTTCTAATTAACATTGGCCGCCAAGTGTTTCTTGATGCGGGACCCTGGGAGAAGGAGTCCGAGACCCGTGGGGTCCCTGGAACACCTATGGGAGACCCCCTGGCGCCCCGGGGCCTTCCGGTCACTCAGTGCCCATGAAAGTGTTGGTAGTGATGGTTGAGGCTCCCACGGGGCCACGGGGCCACGGAGGCCACGGGGCCTCGGGCCGGTCTTTGGTGACCTGTTACAGCGAGTTTCCAAGCCATCCGCAACTGTTTATTTGTTGTCCCAGAGTTCACCCCCACAAGTGTTCCGCCTGGAGCGTGTTCAACCCTGAGCGTGTTCAGCCCTGAGCGTGTTCAGCCCTGAGCGTGTTCAGCCCTGAGCGTGTTCAACCCTGAGCGTGTTCAACCCTGAGCGTGTTCAACCCTGAGCGTGTTCTGCCTAGTGCGTGTTCAGCCCTGAGCGTGTTCATCCATGAATATGTTCAGATGTTAACAATAATGTATTGTTACCAGCTGTCAAATGTGCCCCTGATAATTATGTATATTATTGTTGATTTAACAACTTTTTCTTGTTAATCCCCCGGCCAATTAAATTAAATATTCCCAAGAATTAGAATATAAGAAACTGCAATACACTGAAAGTGAGGCCTTCTCAGCCCCGAGCTGTGAGCGTCGTCACTGGTGCGGGACAAGCTACTGCTGCAGTACAGGTCCCCTACGTGTACACACATACAGTGCCAGTAGTTACATCACCAGTATTACACATAAGGTAATTACCTGGTAATTCAGGTAAATAAGATACTTCAAATTTTGTCAACTTTCACACACACATACATGACGGCTTATTCTTTAGTGTCATATTTCAACACTTCAATACATACTGCCTCGTCTCTTCACGTTTCCTCACACTAATCAGTTTGTTGTAACTAGTTTAAAGTTTGGGTTCAACAAGTATACGCTAAATCAGAACGACTTCATCGTGATTCCCGGCGTCACATGAAGGAGGCGACGGGGCCGGATCCTGCCACACAATGTGACCGTCATATCCATGTCAAGAGGCAGACGTGCCTATAGTGACCTTGGTAATCACAAACTGTGTTCACTTGCCCTGGTGGAGAGTTCTGGCCCATGGATATTGATGTACAAGTCTGATGCAAGTACATCGACCTTAGTTAGTGAGGGTTAATTCAAGCCCCGTGACTGAGAAGGGAATCACATGTGGAAAGTTGAGTCAATTGAAAGTGAATCACATTGTATAAATACTTATACGTATTTTCTCACTCCATTTATCTCCAAATAGAACCAAATGTGTAAATACCTACAACAAGTGTCTGAGCAGCTGAGACAAAGCTGCAGTACACAAGTCAGATATTGTGTCTATGCCAAAGACGGTAACGGAGACTTACCTTTTCTTCTCCATCTCCGTCCAACCACTTGGGTTGGACGGTAGAACGACGGTCTCGCTTCATGCAGGTCGGCGTTCAATCCCCGACTGTCCAAGTGGTTGGGCACCATTCCTTCCCAAATCCTCATATTGACCCCTCCAAGTTCTATATAGTCGTAATGGCTAGGCGCTTTCCACTGATAATTCCCTTCCCCCTCTCCGAAGTTTGGTGACCGACGCCTGAAATCAACACTCCTGAACCCTTGGTGACCCCACTGTACCTCCCCCCCCCCCCCCCCTCCCCCTCCCTCCTCTCCTCCCCTCTCCCCCTCCCCCTCCCTCCCCCCTCTCCCTCTCTCTCCCTCTCCCCCTCCCCCCCCTCTCCCTCCCCCCCCCCCTCTCTCTCCCCTCTCTCTCTCTCTCTCTCTCTCTCTCTCTCTCTCTCTCTCTCTCTCTCTCTCTCTCTCTCTCTCTCTCTCTCTCTCTCTCTCTCCCTCTCCCTCTCTCCCTCTCCCCCTCTCTCCCTCTCTCTCTCCCACACACACACATTCCTCGTACATCACATATATTCACCCACACAAAACTGAACTGTACCCATTGTTATGTACACAGTGCTGTCTTCTCGCAGCATAATGTTATTGTTGATATATAATACAATCTCAGCCCATGTCAATACCAACTGTTATTTCTACTTTAAACCTTTATAACCAGCCACTATATTAAGCGTATGACTCTACTTATAAGCAAATGGTTTGATTTAAGTTTACACATCATCTAGTGTTGTCTAGAATATAACTTCCGGATTGTTTACATTGTTATTCAGGAGACCAAGACTGTTTGACGGCCGCCAGATGTCGCCTTCGTCACTGTCAGGCCTGTCTCTCTCTCTTCACTTTATATACACTACTTTAAAACTATGATTATGTATATTATGTATATATTATATATCTTATATATGTATTATATATTTGATAAACGTCCACGGTTTGTTAGGAACTGCTTGTCCAGGGCGAGGCTGCGTCCAGTAGCTACAACACACCCACATTATTTAAGACAAACAGTCCAGCTCTCTTGAGAAAAATGTAACATAAAAAGATGTATTTGCTGCTCCAGCTTTACTAAACTGGAAACGGTAAAACTTGTTCATATTCCATGTTCAAAATATATTAAGACCATTACCACAGCAGTTTGAAATCCCTGATACTGTGCCGCCAACTATAATTACAGTTGTTAATGATGCATTTTGGTGTTTGTAAAAAGATTTTCTTATTTTAAGCCATATAGTGTATTTTAGTTTTGATGTATTATGTACCAAGTTAGTTTAAATAACTCAACAGATACACATAATAGGAAGGTTACTCAGCTGCTCTTTAAGGCATGATTACACTCTCTCAGCAGGAACTGTAACATCTGTCTGGCTCGGTCACACTAGCACCAGGGTTGCAAGGGGCTCTTTAAGCAGTCGCTGCTCGCGGTCACATTGGCACCAGAGTTGCAAGAGCTCTTTAAGCAGTCGCTGCTCGGTCACATTGGCACCAGAGTTGCAAGGGGCTCTTTAAGCAGTCGCTGCTCGCGGTCACATTGGCACCAGAGTTGCAAGGGCTCTTTAAGCAGTCGCTGCTCGGTCACATTGGCACCAGAGTTGCAAGGGGCTCTTTAAGCAGTCGCTGCTCGGTCACACTGGCACCAGAGTTGCAAGGGGCTCTTTAAGCAGTCGCTGCTCGGTCACACTGGCACCAGAGTTGCAAGGGGCTCTTTAAGCAGTCGCTGCTCGGTCACATTGGCACCAGAGTTGCAAGGGCTCTTTAAGCAGTTGCTGCTCGGTCACATTGGCACCAGAGTTGCAAGGGCTCTTTAAGCAGTCGCTGCTCGGTCACACTGGCACCAGAGTTGCAAGGGGCTCTTTAAGCAGTCGCTGCTCGCGGTCACATTAGGGAATACGAGAAAACCATCAAGCAGGAATGACTACAAAGAAATTCTTTGTGACATATGGCAGAACTAGAATCTTTATTCAAAACCATTCATACAAATTACAGTAATTGCTGGGCTATATAGGTTAGAGCAGACTAAATAAAACTTACATTTTGCCATAAACTGAGTAACATTAAGCTTACAATTTCACAGGTGATGTATATTCGTAAAATAATGTGTAGTTTACCAATACAGCAGCAAGAAATATTGGCATTTGAAGAAAATAAACAAATCATACCACTAAGCTATATAAATCTGCACATCCCTACATTTGACAACAAATTCTGGGATTATTGTGTATCAGTCACTCAACACCCAGCTCATGTAACACAAATCTGCCTACTTCAGAAGGACTGACTGAGTGCCTGTCAACAAGCCATAAAAAAATTTCTCGTCCTAGCAGTCGTCAACTTGATCACCATTCACCTGTAGACTATGCCGACATGCTGCTTCAGCAATATGCAAGCACTGTCCGATAAGCAGCCTGCCTCTAGATGTACAACACCATCTGGCTAGTACCAAAATAAATCGTAACTTTAATATTGAAATTGCCTGTAGTGAAATAGCCTGATGATAACTATGGCATAACCCCCTTTGAAATTAAAAATGCACTCAAGAAAGGTAAGGCTACCTCTCCTGGAGAGGATGGCATCACATACAACACCATGAGAGTACTTGCTGAGCTGCCAAATAGCCCTTTGCTAGAATTGTTTAATCAAAGTCTAAGGCAGGGTGTCTTACCTGACCGCTGGACACAGGGACTAATAATACCCATACCCTAGTTCACAAAAATTCATACTCATTTCTCTGACGTCGTGCATGTGTAAAGTTCTTGAGAGGATTATCCTCGACAGACTAATGTTTCAAATCAAGCCCCACCTTGCCCCTAACCTGTATGGTTTCCTTCCTGGAAGAAGCACACAAACTTGCTTTGCTAAATATTTTATCAGAGAGGGACCAAACTCTCAGGCGGCATTTATTGATCTCCAAACTGCTTTTGATACAGCAAACAGAGAAATAATCTTAGAACAAGTCTCTTAGTCTCCGTGGTGTAGTGGTAAGACACTCGCCTGGCGTTCCGCGAGCGCTATGTCATGGGTTCGTATCCTGGCCGGGGAGGATTTACGCGCAATTCCTTAACTGTAGCCTCTGTTTAACGCAACAGTAAAATGTGTACTTGGATGAAAAGAAACGATTCTTCGCGGCGGGGATCGTATTCCAGGGACCATAGGATTAAGGACTTGCCCGAAACGCTACGCGTACTAGTGGCTGTACAAGAATGTAACAACTCTTGTATATAT